AAGAGAGAAGGCAGAAGATAGAAGAAAAAAGAGTGCGTCGAAGAAAGTTAGTTATAACTGGACGGCTCTCGAGAATAACTTACAACTGCAGGATAGATACGAGGTGGCAATCAGAAATAGATTCCAGCTCCTTTGCGAGGACATCGATCAAACAGGAACCTCTCGGTATGCACGCTTTATAGAAGCTAACAACGAAGCGGCTAAGGAGGTGCTGACTCCTCTAACAAAGAAAAGGAAGGACATACTTTTCTCTGCAGACCCACGAGTAGCTGACGCGCGCCGGGACGTAGACGAGGCCTACAATTCGTTTACTGCATGTGATAGGCGAGATGGTGGAGCTTACATTCACGCAAAGGAAAAGCTGTCTAGAACTTACGATGAGATCCTGGCAGAAAATCTCGCTAAAAAAGTAGAGCAGGCTAAAGCATGTTGCGCTAGTAACCAGCATTCAGCGGGCTGGAAACTAGTCAGGGAGATTGCCGGGGACCGTTTACCTTACCCCATCCAAATTGATGGCAAAACTGTAGATGACAGGGTCATCTCATGGTACTGTCACTTTAAAAATCTGCTTGGCAACCCCCCGACAGTGCAGGATGTAGATGAGGAGATTGAACCTGTCTTCCTTGATCTTCCTATCGATGACGGTCCTATTACACTTGATGAGTATCATCAGGCCAAACAATCTTTGAAAGCCGGGAAAAGCTGTGGAGAAGATGGTGTTGTTCCCGACGTTCTAAGGTGGGTGGATATTGATGACCTAGTTTTAAGCATTACTAATAATAGGGCGCATGAGAACCGTGAGATTCCTGAGCAATGGTTCATCCTGAACATAATTCCCATACCAAAAGCTGGCGATCTCAAAAACAGGGACAACTACAGGAGAATTAGCTTGAGCTCAGTGGTTGCGAAAGTTTACAACAGAATGATTCTGAATAGGATTAGAACACCTTTAGACCCTCTTTTAAGACTCAACCAGAATGGATTTAAAGAAGGAAAGTCAATAACTGCACAAGTGCTTGCGTTACGACGTCTCATTGAGGGCGCAAAAAAGAAGAACTTGCCCGCAGTCGTAACGTTTGTTGACTTCAAAAAGACCTTTGATTCCATTCACAGAGGCAAGCTCATGAAAATTCTGCTGGCATATGGAATACCACCTAAAATAGTGCAGTCAATAAGCGATATGTACGCTAAAACCTCGGCAAAAGTC